TTTTACTCTGTTACAAAGAAATAATGTTTTTACCTCATCTTTGATGGTCAATTTATTTACAAATTTCCCAAGTTCGAACTTTAAATCCGATAAGATTTCACATTCTTTCTGCACATGTGTTTTTGTACTATTTAGGAATGATATAAATTCATCCTAAAAATAAATTAGATAACATAATAATATTATATATAAATTTTCAGAAACATGCACATATAAATGAACATATAAATGACTTTTTTTTTAAATGATAAAAAAAAACTGTAAAAAAAATGGTAAAACAAACAAAACTGAAAACTAAATGTTACTTGCAATTAAAAATTTTCTAAAATCGAGTTTTACGATAATCAGATTATTTTTTTTTAATTTTATCCGCCTTATTGGATTCTACTGAACTATTTTGATTTTTTAATTTTGATCTCAGATTCGAATGAAGTAAATTATCCCATAGGTCAAGTTTCATAAAAATTAAATGAATAGTTTAAAAAATAAAAAGAGATAATTACAAATAGGATGCTCAAAAAGTTAAAATATAATATATAATATTGTACAAATAAATCTTTTTAGAATGCAAAGTATCTATTGAAAGCGAAAAATATTTCTAAAGAAATAAAATATTATTATTTAAATATATTATATACGTTTATATTTAATTCTACTGACCTCCTGAGAATTATTCATATCAATACAGACTTTTCGAGAAGACGTATCCTGAAATCATGTTAGAAAGAATAAATATATATTAAAACTGTGACATATGTATAAACAAAATTATTATATATATTATTTTATAACGGTTTATGTTAGAATTTACTGTTATATTAACTTATAAACGAGGCAATCATGTTGATATACATTCTTGTTTTTCATAAATATTACATAGAATTAATTTATTTTTAAACATATTACTGATAATAAATTGCATACTAATTCGTGAATATGCATAATTTATTTATTTAAAAATATCTCATTTTATTAATTTAAAAATATATCTTTTTAAAGTTAGTATCGATGTCATTTCATACGGATTATAAAAAGGAAATGATCGAAGTATAGAAGTTTGTGTTTACCTTATTTCGTACATTTGTTTCTAAAAATTCTTATCAGAGAATGTCAACTTTTGTTAAAAAATATTTAAATTTGTAAGATATCTTGATGTGCAGTAATTTAAATTCATTTCATTTTATTTCAAGAATGAATCATTAATATTATCTTGAACATGTGAATAAACATAAGTGTTTATTATAATTCAATCTGGTAAATTGTTATCTTTACACGGAGGTGACAATTTTCTAGCAGTCTGTAGTATTTTTTTATCAATATTCTTTATATATTTATATCGACCAGTTTGAGTATCTACGCGAGATTGGCTGTGTAGATTAAGCAATCTATTTGGTAACTTTGTATTAATCGTTGATAAACTTCGTTTGCCACAGTTTAATAAGACTTCAGATTCAGCGTGTAAAAATGCAAAATCATTCTTTTGTTGTGCGGATATATGTAGGAGATTTGATACTGGAAATTGCTCAGGAGACTCATGGGATGATTTCATCTTAGTAATAGCAGCGGTACGATTATTAGAATTATACTTGCAAGGTCGGGAGATGGGTAAAGTCTTCTACAAATGTAGAAAATTATAGATTTACACCGAAAATTTTACAAATATCCGTCATACCTCTAAAGTTGTTTGCTTCAATCCTTTACGCATTTCTTTAATCAAGTCGTCCTTTAAAAGATTACCCATATTGGCATGATAATTTTGTTTTTCCAATGCCACGATTTCCGCCGTCAGTGTGTCTTTTGTTTCTGCAGCTTCCTAAAACCAACAAAAATATATTTATAAAAACAGCATGTATATACATATATATAATATATAATAAAATAAAATATAATAAACTAACTTTTTCGAGGCGAGCCACTTTGTCCTCCAGTTGTTGAACTTTCTTACATTTTTCTTCCAGTTGTAATTGTAGATTAATTGAATCAACATTGTTTTCATAAGTATATACCATAAGTTTAGATTCAACATCTTGGAGTTGTCGATGTAAGTTCTTGTTTTCCCTGTCTTTCGCATCTAGTACACTTTCCAGAATGTCAGGTGTTAAGATAATCTGAACAGCAACATAGATTTTAAAACTCTTTCAATTCTTTAATATTGGAACACAAACACAAGTTACATTTTATATCTTGCTTATAAAATGTAAAGCTTAGCAACAAAATAGGTAGCAATAAAAGCAACTATTATATTTATAATTTTTATGCTGCAACATGATTGCCTCTAAATTAATTCTACAGGAATCAATAATTAATTCAAAAACTCATTAAAATAAATTTCTATCTGAATAATTATGAAAAACGCACTTACATTGCAATCTTGATCAAAAGCTAGTGGATAACTAATAACTTGATTCGTTTGTTTAGCATGTTCCTTAAGTTTTTCACAAAAACACTGAAGTTTAGAAACATATTTTTTTGTAGTATCGTCCTTTATTGATAATTCTGTTGTAAGATCTGCTATTTTTCCTTTCAGTTCCAACTGAGATCTGAAAAATGTGTTTATATATATGTTAAAAAAAGATATAAATTTGAATATAAAAATTTAATAATAAAAATAAAAAATATATGAATATATTTTATATGCACAC